TTTTCTATCTTCACACAGGCTCTTCCTCCTGCCCAAAAAGTAAGCACCAACATTAGCACCAGCAGACCTAACTCACCCCTCTGATGTGCTGGACACAGGGAGAAACCTCCAGAGCTATGCTGGACCTGGATTCATCATCTCCATGCCCTTCATCTGGGGGTGCTGCAGAGCTCTGTCCCCTCCCCACCTACCATTCCACCTCTCTATAAAATACCTTGGATATCTTGGGCCAGAAATGCATAAATGAGATGCAGGCTTTCATATCATGTACATAAAATACATAGAGAAGCCTCCTATCACATCTAACAACAAGCCAAAATCAACATCTGAAAGAAAATTCAGCTCATTAAAACTGAACCTAGACCAGATCCAGGTGCAGGAAGGAATCCATCCAAATCTACTAACTGTGTAATATCACATCTGCTGTTGCTGAAAATGCCTGTTCTCCAAATTAACAAAGCATGTCACAGCTTTTAGGTTATTTTGCTCTTACAAACAGGACTTGTGGAAAAAAAATAAATAAATATTTTTAGAATAAAATAAATTGGCAGAATGAAACATGCACTGATATAGACATCCATTCCCCTCCCAGCAAAATGATTGACTGGGGGATGAAAAAAACCAACACAGGTGTTCTGCTGCCACCACGTGGTCGTGAATGGACCTAGGCAGAGTTTTAAAATACAATAAAATGTTTGTGCTTCTTCAGAACAGATCGATTCACTAAGCTTAAAATTTTTGTGTACTTCCTTAACTCATCTCCAGTTGGGGGTAGTTGTTTCAAATCCATCAGATGACCATGTAGCCAGCCTGCCTGCCCTGCTAGGTCTGCCCTGCAGCTGGATTGGATCCAGAGATTTCAAGGTTCATCACACACTTGGGCCTCAGCTCCGGGGTACAAATTATTTTCAAAAAGCCTCCTGAAAGAGAAATACAGCTTTTCAGCCAACAGAGGACACGAATCAAATGCTGCTGGTGCACAACTCACACTAGAGTGACATCTGGGAAGGGGGAGATGGGTTGCATCCCCCACTCCCAGACCTCAAGGCCCCAGTGTGACTCACCCAAGGTGAGGACAATACTGCCACTATTTATTCCAGTGACTGCTTTCACCAAAAAGCACTTAGAGGAAAGACTGCCTTTCTGCAACTGTAATTTAAAACACCCCATTGGCATTTTTATTTTTACTAAGAGAAGTGCAAATGGCAGCATTAGTTTGGCCATACTCTGGAAAGAAATAGTAAATCCTCTCTGAAAAGTATACTCTTGAAAGGTACACTATGCAAAAAGTTTGTCTTAATTAGAAATATCAAAATAAAGGTATTGATTAGTATTCAATGCCTAAAGACTTCTCTAAGACTGTCTACAATAGTTTTATAAGGTAATACAGCCCTGTATATCATTGCTCCACTCCCCTAAATATGTTATAAACTGTACAGAAAATAAAATTCGATTTTCTATAAACTTTCCTCTTTCTGTATTTTTGGTGTGCAGAGCAGCAGAAGAGCAATTTGCTACTCCATCCTTTCAAGTCCCATCAGTAATAATTTTTCATCAACTTTTTTAGTATTTTAGAGGTACCTTTTTTTTTTTTTTGCCCAACAGCCCTGAAAAAATATCCCAGTGACTCATTAGATCTCCTCACAATACAGGCATTTATGAAACTTCATGTATCTTTGTTTCCTGTGAAATTCAGCTCAAAACTTAGGAAACAAAGCAAGAAGGGCTGCTGTCAAAATTCAATAGCAGTGTAGCCATTTATTTCTTTTCTTGTAGAATGTGAATAAGTTTGCGAGATACGTGATTGAAAAAAAAAGAAAAGCTCTGTAAACGAGTAAGGTAAAGTTGCCAGTGGTTTTACATTTTGGTCACAAACATTTCCAACAGTTAGTTCTCCTAGGAGTCACTTCCAGTCTCTATTAATAAGGAATGACACTGTTTATGATGTAGTCAAATCTTTGTGCACGGATGTGAAAAACACCTTTACTGAGGCCTAGAAGAGATGAAAGGCTGTGCTTTCAGAACAGTTAAAGATCAAGTCTCAGGATGGTTCCTCTGCATACCACAAAACAGGTCATCATTGAAACATTTATTGTCCATGTATACCATCAGAATTTCATGACTCCAAAGATTAAAGGTAGTGCCTTGGGCATTTACTGTGCAACAGCATTAGTCCTTGCCTGATAGCAGTGAAGTGCAATATGGATTGGTACATGGAACATCCTGCTTGTAGTGGAAACAGGCTGATTCTCATTATACTACCAGCCTCACAGTGTGCTTGCCATTTTGTCCCTCAAGGTAATTCACCAGCCATAGGTACATAGGTTCATATATTGTCCCTTCTCCAGTCTGTTTTAGAGGGGGAGATTTTTGAGACAGGAATACTCAAAATGCTTCAGGATCCTTAAGATATGCAAATCACTTGGCTTGGGTTGGGTTAGTTGTGGAGTCTGAACTGAACTTATCATTTAACATGAAAGGCTGAATTCAACATTAGCATTTGGGATTACTATTTTCAGCTGTCACCTTGATGACAATTCAAGAAAAAGACAGCTGTAACAGCAGCCTGTGTTCCAGGATCTACTGTAACACAAATTACTGTCATTTATTTTACCCTAACATACTTCCATTGTCATCTCAGTGCTTTATTGTGATGGTTTTGACCTCAGTGAAGAACTCATAGGAATCCTTTGCTCCCTCCCTTCCTATGCCTGAGGCTTTCATCCCACCAAATGGCAAGTTCAGATCTCTAACAAGCCAGCAGTTGGTCCACACCAGTCCAGACTGTAGCCTTTGTGCCACCCGATGAACACGTCCCACGTTGCTGGACCACACAGTGGCTGCCAAGCCGTATTTCACACCATTGGCTCTTTCAATCACTTCTTCTTCCGTATCAAATGCTACCACACATGTCACAGGCCCAAAGATCTCTTCTTGCATGCAACAAGATTCATCCTTGACTTCAGCAATAACTGTGGGCAACATGAAATAGCCTTTCTGGTTGTCAGCTGGGAGAGCCAAGGAATCCACTCCTTCTCCACAGAGGACCCTGGCTCCTTCGGCTTGTGCTTTCTTCACATAGCTCCTTACCTGAGGAAGCAGCAGGAAAAAAAAGACTGCTAAAGGATACCAAATTCTGAGGGTCCACCTCTCCCGTCTGGGCACACCAACTGGAGCTCCTGAGTATCTAAAAAATGGACCACACTGCCTTTACTTCCCTCCTTACAGAGGCCATTCCTTAGGGTTTTTTTTGTTATGCTTCTGTGAAAGTAAAACTGGCTATTTCTTGTTGTAAAATAACCTTTCTCTTTCTCCACTCACTAGCCTAGAAGGCAACATCACTGGCCCTTCTCACTAAGTATTCTCAAAAGGGCAAGGCCCCTGGTGAAAACACAAGTGGTCCCAGAGCCTCTCTTCCTTCCTCCAGGAAGACAGTTTGCCACATATTCAATGCTGCAGTTCACTCATTTACTTGAAGGGATCAGTAATATTTTCCCACCTCACAAACAGGGTTTTTAAATGTTAACATGCCACTGGGATGATGAAGCCATGAATGCTATAGAAAACCTCATCAATAAATAATTAAATCTGTTTCCATGGCTGCTGCTATCACATGCTACCTTGAACACACATAATACGCTATTGATCTGTTTCTACTGCTCTGATATCATTGCCTGGTTTCTCTCCCTATAGAAACACCACAGAGATACCACTGGGTTTCTTCTTCTTTATTCTTTTAACCACCAGGGTAGGTTAGACTTGGAAGCCCTCTGTGGTGCCACAGACCGAGGACCTGGGGAAGTGGGGGTTTCTGCCACTGGACTTCTGAACAGGCCTGGAGAACCATGACAAACATTTACCTTTTACTCCGGTTTTCAGTCTGCTCCCTGCTTATAGTGTAAGATAGGTCTGGGATGTGACCATCTAGTCTCCTGAATTCTGTCTGACATCATAAAAATGCACTTCATGTAAGCAACTAAAGCAGACTCTATTTCACTGCGCACCATCTCACCTTCCCTCTACACATACACAACTCCAAATTGCTGCAAGGAGTCCTAGGAAACTCTGTCTTATACTCCCCAGCATTTGACAAAGACTGCTATAAAAAGAAAACTTCTACCTTGCTAATTACCTTATTAGGCAAATAATTGATCTCAGCAAATGCAATATTAAAAACCATGGAAATGTTGCTGAACTCTAATATTCAGAATATAAATTCAGAATTCAGATTAATTTTTTTTTAATTATTTCTGTTCAAGTGGGAAAAAAATATTGTTTGTAATTTTAAATTATTTTTCCCATGGAGATGGTTTTTCTGGAGTAATCACAAGATCCCAGGCCACAGGCAAAAGAAACTTTATCAAAAAGATTCCTTATAATGGCTTTGAATCATCATCCTTCAGAGCTAATCCTGGAGAGGACTCGGTCCTTTTGATACACCTCTGAAGTTACCTATCACAGCCCTCTAGAAGATGAGATGAGATAATGTAAACTCTAGGTAACATCACCTTTTCTAGATGCTCTTTACTTATTAGTGCTCCCACGTCAACTGTAGGATCTGAGGGGTTCCCAACCTTCCATTTCTTTGCTTCTGCCACAAACCTCTTCAGAAACTCACTGTATATACCCCTCTGAACAAAGATCCTGGAGGTGCAGAGGCAGATCTCTCCCTGCCAAAACGAAACAAACAAGAAAACCAGCAATACTACTACGATTGACGAGCATTGAGAGTCACATCCCATAACAAGACTTGTGTCTGTGCATCCTAAGGAGTGCAAACTACATTTGCCAACACCGCAAAGTAGGAGTTTTTCCAGATTAAAAGGGAAAGGACAAAACAGCAATAACAGGATTGTACAGTCAGTGATGCAAATAAATGTGATTTTTCCTTCATTACATGTTTTCTTCTCCAGCATTTTTTGTAGGAAATGTGATTCCCAATGCCCAATAACCTCTGTCTTAATTTCCTGATAAATCCTTTTTGATACTAAGCTATTTTTCTGAACATTTGCCCTACACAGTTTCATGGCTTTGGTGATCTCTCCTGAGGGTGGTGATGGGAGAAGGGGAACATTTAGAGAATTCTGGGGGGAGTCTCCTAATTGAACTCCAGCAAATCAGCAGATGGTATTTGAAACAGCTGCTTTCTGGAAGGATAAGTAATTTATCTATTTTGAGAGGGATAATGACACCTTGTAACTTTCCAATGGAGAGTGGTAGGAAGAGCCCTTTATTCTTTTGTTTCCCTGCTTGTGGAATTATTAACTTTTTGCACATTTTTCTATGTATAGTTTGCCTACAACACCAAATCTTGCAACAGACCTTGACAACTGAGGATCTGGATCCAAAGGCACGTGCACATGTGCGCGCGCGCACACACACACACCCAGCAGACACACACACACACAGCTCCTCCTGCAAACAGGGGTTACATGCTAGAGAGGTGGGAGGCACCTGGTTGGCAAAGCTGGACCTGAGGGTGGTGGGGATGCACTGGGTCAAGTCAGCGTCGTCGAAGATGATGGCAGGGTTTTTGCCGCCCAGCTCCAGCGACAGCCGCTTGCAGTGGGGAGCGCTCCTCTCCGTGATCCGCTGGGCTGTCAGCGTGCTGCCCGTGAAGGAGATCAGGGGCACCTCGGGGTGGCAGACCAGGGCTTCTCCCGCCTTGGAGCCTCTTCCGAACACCACGTTCACCACTCCCTGGGGCACTCCTGATGGGAAGAAAGGCACACAGTCGTGGTACCCCCCCTGCCTTGCCCTTCGGGTTCCACTTCGCTGTGTTTGGTCTCTGAAGTTAGAAAATTACCAGCAGCTTTAGGGTGTCAAAACTGACCCTTAGCAGCTGAAATGCATCATGACTCCGGGGGTCAAAAGGTAAAAGAGAAAATCAATTCCACTGATCATTCAAGCTTGCCTGACCTCAATTCATAAGAGACTCAGTCTTCAGTCAGCAAGGGAAGAAGCAGTTGTCCTCCCAGTTTTCCTTAGTAGTTCCCCAAACACAGCCACAACACAGCCACCAAGAGCTGCTTCTCACTTGCTCATGCCCTCATAGCTCCTCTGCTGGCATCACAGTCTTAGGACACCCTTAAGTGGAGTGCAGGAGGGGGAATGGAGGCACAGAAAGACTTTTTGTGAGAGAACAGTGGGAAAAATTGGGCAACAGCTGAAGTGGGGAGATGGGATAGTATGAGGTCAGGAGAGCTTTTTATTCTCCAGTGCCACATTTAGCTACAGCAAAGTCCTTCCCAAATTCTTTGAGCACTTTCTGATTTCTACAACAAAAAGAAAATGTGTAACATAGGCAAGTGTACCCACCACATTCCCCCTCCCTAGCATGCTACAGGACTTACCTGCTTTCTCCAAAAGTTTGCACATCATCCAAGCTGTGACTGATGTCATCTCACTTGGCTTGGCAACCACAGTATTCCCACATGCAATGGCAGGAGCTATCTTCCAGGTCAACAAATACAGTGGCAAATTCCAGGGACTGATTAAACCCGCTAAAAACCAAAAGACAAGGAGTTCAGGCTGCTGGGAGACAAAACTCAATTCCCTAACCTCAAGCAGTTACTCACCAATTCAGATTTCTTAAGGGAATTTAGCTATGGCTTTTCTTTCCAAACACCTGTACAATACATTTGCAGCTAGAAATATTTCTCAGAGGCTGACAATTTAAAAAGATTTGTGGAATTTATCCTGAAGGTGACCAGCGGAACTCTCTGAGTAAGTTTTGCTGCTTCTTCAAGGCAGAATCTTATCTTCACAACCACTTTTTGTGTTTTCTAGGAACATTAGTGCAAGGTTAGCCACAAAAAAAACTGTAATCAACTGGTCCGTGGTAACATTCTGTGTCAGCTAGTTAAGGCAATGTGAGTTAGCTCAAATCACATGTGCTTTCTCTCGCTCTTTGGAGTTGTTCTTCTTTCAAATTTTAATACAAACAAGAGCATGCATAATATGCAGTGCATCTTTTCCTGATAAATTTTAGCCTAACTGAAGAGTGCCAAAGTTTATCAGTGTTCAAACTGCTGTTTCCACAAATCAGTGAATGACCAGAATTTTTTCAGTTACTTCCTTTGGGCACACACTTTCACCCTACATATTTTATGGAAATAATGGAAAATAATATCTAATTGTTGGGTGGGATTGCTCACAAAGGCCACAGGATTTCTCACTGTGTGATGGAGCAGATGCAGTGAGTGACTTTTCCTTTTGAGAGTAATTTTAAAAGAAGTATGCACGTTCTCCATGCTCATAAAAATTTTAAAATAGGTTCTGCAGGTTAGTTAATTTTATTTTTTTAAATAATTCAAGCGTGAACGTGAACCACTCATTTATATTTAGTTAAAACACCCGGTCATGGCATCATTAGGGCTCCATCACTCGTCAGCTCAGCCCAGCCATTTATTTCTGCAGCATCAGCAGCACCTAGTGGCTGCGCCCAGCAGTTCCCAGCTAAAGGCGATTTACGCGCCTCCGTGCACCGCGGTCACAGGCTGAGATGACACGTTGCAAGCTACTCCTGCTCCCCCAAAGGTGAGGAGAATCCAGCTCTCCCCGCAGGAGCAGCAGCTCAGTGCTTCTTCTGAACGCCTCGCCGATCCATAGCAGTAACACTCACGCCATCAGACCCACATGCAAAACACTAGCAGTATCTTGAGGGTGAAAGCTACCAGGTTAAAAAAGATGCTTTTTAAGGCCTACTCTTTTTACCACGAAGTAGCACAACTGATTTTACATGAAGCTGTTTGTGCTTTAGCAGACTACTCGTGCTTGGCACATGATCAACAAATGCTTTTGAAACACCCTCTTTCTTCGCTGAGCCAGACACTCTGCCAAGCTCTCCAGTGTTTTAGGAGCCCCGTACCAACTCCCACAGGTGCCCTCGAGGTGTAGTGCACACAGCCCATGGCTGGCATCTCAGTGCACTCTGTTGTGTGATGAAGGATGGAAGAGGCAAAGAATCGGAAGTTGTACACGGCCCGAGGGATGTCCACGGTTCTAGCAAACGTAATCGTTTTTCCTGAAACCAAAACAAACACACTGCTGTGTTATCATGGGCAGAAACGGTGCTTTCAGCTTTACTGTGACAGCTGCTTGGCACGGTTGTTGGCAAATCTTTTTCGTCCTGCACCCAGGTGATCCCTAGCACAGTGCAACCACGGTCAATGACAACAGCTCCCCCATATGATTGCACTCCAAGTATCTAACAACTGAAGTAAAAGTCAGCAATTCTGTAAAGCCAGAATGCCCCAGAAATAAAAAATTAGAGATTTCTGCAAAGTTCATGCACATCAGCTCCAGTTTGCACCACCAGCTCGTATCATACTAAAAAATTGGACCTAATTCAATGTTGAGCAAGACACTCTACATTTGAAATCAGCAGTTCAAATTTTTACCCTGATCCTTTGACTCAGCTTGAGCAAACGCTTCCAGGTCATGTTCAATCAGGTCTGCCAATTTGTTCAAGATCTGAGATCTTTCCAATGGGCTTTTTGAGGACCAAACTGGGAAGGCAGCTTTGGCAGCTTTGACAGCAGCTTCCACCTAAAAAACACCAAAGAGGAGTGGTGAATTCTAATAGAAAGCCTCAGAAAGAATATTGAACAATCAGCAGATGAGCTCATATTTAGGAGGCTAATAATCCAGATGACGTTGTTAGGAAGACTGCATCTCTTCAGACTTGTGACAATTGATAGCTTCTTCATTTTTATCTTCTCAATTTGCAATCCCGTAATTCCAGACAGTTTATTTGCTCCATACTCTATTTCACTGTAACTCATAATTTTTCTCTACCATCCAGCAAGTTGTGGGCAACCCTCCAGGCCTGGGGGAAATGCCAGACTTGTCAACTGGCACCAGCAAGTGGGGGGAAATGTCCCAGAGCAAATGCAGCCTCAATCTAAATATCTACAATCTGCAACTTCAGCCATACTGAGCAATGACGTTCAGGGAGCTGTTGAGAGCAAGAAAGTCTTCTCTCAGCCTCCTCTTCTCCAAACTAAACAATCCCAGTTCCCTCAGCTACTCCTCACAGGACTTACTATCTAGCCCCTTCACCAGCTTGGTTGGCCTTCTCTGGTCTTACTCCATCATCTCAATGTCCTTCTTGTAGTGAGGGACCCAGAACTGAACACAGTATTCAAGGTGTGGTCTCACCAGTGCAGAGTACAGGGGCACAATCACTTCCCTACTCCTGCTGGCCTCACTATTCCTGATGCAGGCCAGGATGCTGTTGGCTTTCTTGGCCACCTGGGCACACTGCTGGCTCATGTTCAGCTACTTGGCAACCAGCACCCCCAGGTCCTTTTCCACTGAGCAGCTTTCCAGCCACACTTCCCCAAGACTAGAGAATTGCCTGGGATTGTTGTGACCAAAGTGCAGGACCCAGCACTTGGCCTAGACACTTAAAGAAGATGTTTAATATTACTTGATCACAGCTAGAAACTTGTTAAGGCCCTCAAATGAAATAAAATAAAAAATCTGATCCTTTCTAAAACTCTCAGGGTTTGGTCAGTTCTCTTATCAGATACCCAGCAAAGTCTGCAGATATGAAAGATCATTATATACATTTTATACAGATGCATACCAGTCTTGCTAGTATTTTGCCTGAGCTGTAGGTAACTACTGAATGGTCCTTCAGCTTGGCCTTTCTGAATAGTAGCAAAATACCAGCACTTTTCTGAAGCAGACTAGGCTTCAAAGGATTAAAATTCACCAAAATGTCCATCAGTCTTTTCGTCTGGGCTCTTAAATGAAAGTTACCTGCATCTATTGATTTATAAGCAGTTCCTTCTCAATGTTTTTTACCAGTCTAAAGACATTCACCAGCTTCCTTCTATTTTTTAATTTACAGACTTATGCCCTTTTTTATGCTTCCTGTGTATCATTTCATAATGGCTTCCAACATTTAACATAGGGATCAAAGTGGGCTTTTAGCAAAAGCTGTCTTTGTTAGTTTCCCATATTTTTTGCTCAGATTGTAATGGGTGTTATAAAAACCATCACAAAATAATTTATAGGCACTCCAATGTTTAATAATGAGAGCACAGAAGTTGAAGCATGTGGAAGTCCTTTCCACCCCCCCCCCCCCCCCCCCCCCCCCCGCATATAAAAAGTCTCCCTAAATATAAGGACCAGAGTTTGAGGGCCAGAACGATGGTATGGTGGTATGGAGGCCATGGGGGGAACAGATAACTCTCACAAGGGCACACAGATGACTAGCCAAGCTCAAACTCTTTCGACTGTAGCTCAACAACCTACTACTCAGCAGGTTGTCAACCACTGACCCACTGGAGCAAGGCCAAAGCAGCCCTGGGAAAGGGGAACTGCAGCTTTTTGAGCAAGCCAGGTGCAGATGGCACCCTACACTGAAAAGGTTCACCTTCTGTGAAACCATACCACCCTGATTAATTAACTTGTTCTTCCACCCTTCAGTCATTAGGTGCCATTGTGGTGCTGCTTCTCATCTGTCCTCTCCTCATCAGCTTTTTCCACCAGGTGCTGGATGCATCAAGAGAGGGCTAGAGTGCCATTCAGGCTATCTGCATTTTTAACCATCTGGTGGGTTTAGAATAAGGAAGATGTCACATTTTCACAGACAACAGAAAAGAAAATAAGCAAAGGAAGGAATGAAGTGGTACTAGATTGATCTAAAAAAAGGCAAGAGGAAAAACAGGAGGCAGATTTACACAGCAGAAGGAAGTGGGCATGCAAAGGTTAAACAGTTACTTAGTTTGACTACCAAAAAGCAGCAAAGAAAGTTGAGCCATAAAGAAAACATGCATAGGAATTCAACTATGAACTCGTATGTCTGAAACACTTCCTTCTGCTTTCCTCTTCTACACAAGACAGAGAAAGAATATACAATCCAGAACTATTGTAAAAGGTTGATACCAAAATACTCCAAAATGCCCTCATAACTTGATGTTTGATTTCCCAGTGGATGATGCACTGGATTGAGGTTCTTTAAAGCAGAGAATTTTTTTTTAATTTTTTTTAGGGAGATGTTTGCCAGAAATGATTAGTCCTCACCAGCTTGTCTTTTGAAGATACAGAGCACCTGGTCAGCCTGCTTTGGTGATGCCACTTGGAATTTAAGACATCTAGCTAGGGGACAAATTAACCCCTGAAAAAAACATTTTCTGTTTTTGGCAGAAACTGGCTTAAATGGCCCCTTCAGCTGACCTAGTATTAAATTCTGGCATCACCAACAGAATCGTGCCTGTCCCCATTCTGACTTGAAACCCTCCATTAAAATTAAAGAAGAAAAAAAAATCCAACAGGACATTGAGCCTTGCTAGAAACCAGTATCTCAAGTTCTCTGTTGAACCTGGGTCCAGAAGCTTATTTTGAAATCCCCGGATACCCTCTAACTTGTATCTGATTGCACTTTCTTTGGCAGCATATTCCATCAGTCACTAGGGGTGCCAGCTTTGCAGAGCCTGACCTTGTGCAGTTGTCTAAAAGCAGAAATAAAGAACTTGCAGGCTTTATGGGTGTTCTCCCTAGATTCCCACTGCTACACACAACCACTGCCTCAGAAAGCTGAACAACATGTATTAGAACTACAGCTCCAGAATGGCCAGCAGCCTATTTTTTTAGGCTGCTCATTCTCACACCTCTCTAGTTTTAATCATTTTGCAAATGAATGCACAGCAATATTTGCACCCGCACATCAAAGAGAAGTCTTTTAAGACATAATTAGAGTTGGAATGAACTAACTAAGATGTGTTCTAGCAAATGCAACCTGTTACTCTTTAACCCTTGGTCATCAGCATCTAGCAATTATTTACCCAGTTGAGATTAAAGTGCAAAGGTTTCTGCTGAGAGAAGCAAAGAGAAAAGATGTCAACAGGACTGACATGCGAGTGAATAGCTATACACAGTGGCAGTTTGTTTTAAAAAACCTTTTGAAAATACTGTACACTACTCATCTTTTCCAAGCCCTTTGTGTTATCCAAGCTTTTCTAGTTGCTTCTCTCTTCAGTAAATCTGAAGCATTGTTAGACACACACTTGTAGGTCCCTTAGGAAGCAGCATCAATCAAACTGCAGCTCCCCAAATGAAAGCCCCATTGCCCATCCATACACATCCTGAACACACACAAGGTACCAGGAAACATTGATCATACTGGGAAACACTGCAGTGCTGCAGGGAAAGGATTATGTTATGAGGCAATGTACACTCATCACACCCACTTCAGCCCCTCCACCTAATATCCAACTGCTAATACTAAAACCAGGGAGGTCTGGAAGCTTCTTACCATCCTCAGGGAAGAATGAGCAAGCCAAAAATCTTTTTAAATGACAGCTGAAAATCATCAAGACAACAAGAGAGAACATATTTAGTTGTACACACTGCCTGTAGTTTTATTCACATGGGAGATCAAGAACTCTTTTCTCTCTTCCACACTGCCAGTCCAAGCATTATTGTTAACTTATGTACAAGACATATCCCACTTGAGGTGAAGGAGCTCTACTGCAGTTACTGAAGCTTGGTTGATTTATACTAGCCTAGGATCCAGCCTGTGACTTTCTAACAGCAAAATGTGAAAAAAAATAACAGTATTCACTGCCACAGCAGTAGATCACACAATGTTGCAATACAATCAAGAACTTACTCATTTAGGCATTAAAGTCTTCACCATTTTCCTGTTCTCTCACCTTCAGCCTCTCCCACTCAAAATGTTAATGTTATGTGCATTTCATACTTCCATTTCTTTGTACATTTGGATAGTACTCACCTCTTCTTTGCCACTGTCTGGCACCCTGCAATAGACCTCTCCAGTGGATGGATTATAGGAGTCTATGTAGGAGGAAGAAGGAACAAATTTACCAGCTATAAAGTTTTCCAGCACTAAGAGAGTCTTTGAGTGAGCCATTGTTAGCCACTTGCTTCATCCGTGATTTTTTTCTACCAGGTATCAGTTCAGATTAATAGGCCTGGACGTATTTGCTCAGCAAGTCAGAACTCCTCCCCCTCCCTCTCTGTCCTCCCTGCGTCACTCGCTCACAAGTGGGAACAAACCCTGGCAGCAACAGCAGAAAAGAGGAAAAGGCGAAAAAAATACTATTTCTCTGACACTTGGGTCTTTTCTAAGAGTTGAAGCAGGGAGGCAGGATCAGCTAAGATGTTAGTAAACAGTTTCTCTCTTGTCTATATGAAATAAAATACTGGAGAAGGAGAGGAAAAGAATGGTTTGACAGGGGAATTTGTCCCTATACCTGTTGTTCAAACTCAGTCTGAAGAAAGACATTTACCAACAACTATACAAAATAATTCAAGAGCCAACCACCTACCAGGGATCTGCTCCTTACTGTCAGCAGTCACAGAAAAGACACTGGACTAGCTTTGTCATCATACTTTTCCTTGTTACCCCCAAAACAATGGTTCTGCCAAAACAAAAGATTTTAAACATGATAAACTCTTTTTTTTTTCCGTTTTTTTCTTGCAAATACCCCCAAACATTGAAAAATAAAAGAAGCTGAGTGGCTCCTTGATGCAAAAAAGCTGATTAACACAATCATTCCTGGTACCCTCTGTGGTACGTTGCCAGCTTTTAAAATAGGAGCAAGATACCAAGCTAGCATGCTTTATTTCCCATAGATACTCCATTGGAAGCCACCTTTCTATAGAGAAGACTGTTACATATAATTAGTATCTTCTTTAACTTCCTAAGAACTTGAACTGCCTAGTAAGAGCTGTTTTCATTGCACAACAGATCATTTATGCATCAACCAACTGGCACATCTGGGCAGAGTTCAAGGGGGTGCTGAAAGGCAGTGCAGTCATGTTGAAACTGGATTAAGTAATACCTCTGGCTCTCCCAGGGTACACACTGGGAAAGCATGCAGTAGCTTTTCTGTCATCACCGAATCCTGAGTCTCAAAATTTAATGCAACCAGATGTGAGAAGGGCTACCAGAAGTTCATACCGTATCACACTCCCTTGTCCACAAAGAGCAAGGAATTTCCTGAAATCTTAACACTGAGGACACATTTTTCTTTCTGTAGCACTTCAGCTTGACTTAACAGCAACCTAAACATTTTCAAGTTTTGAAGGCAAATTCCAGTGGAATAGGTTCAATGCAGGATGTATCTATGGAATCCAACAAGCACACTGCAACCTGCACAGCTGGCACAGTGAAACTGCTAAGTATTTAAATGCAATGTTTGGCCTACAAAAAGACATAAAAAGAACTGATAATTCATAAGCCTTGATTTTGACAATCAGATATTTCAGATTAATAAGGTTTTACAAAACTCATTTCCATATACAGCATTGCTGATACTTCTGTAACTGTGCATATAGTCCATAATACAACTAATTGATGTGGCCATCTGCAGACATCTGCTGAATTGGGGCTAAAGCATGTAAGTGCAAAAAAGTTATCTACCACAAAAAGCATGTGGGAAGACCAGGTATGGACCATACATAACTTCAAACTTTGTAACAACCACAGGCTTTTTGTGTCCTTCATTACACCGGGCAGAGCTTTACTTCAGCTAACCCCAGCATCTCATGCTCTGCAGTGTGTACTTCAGGTCCTTCCTCATACTACTAACGATGGTCAAAGGAGAGTTGTTTCTACCCTGCACTCATCTACAGGTCCTGAAATACTTGAGGTCTTCTCACACTTCCTATAGAAAAAAAATTCTTCCAAGCTGTAATAAAGTGTGTCTGTCCTGAGCTTGTGCTGGAGGTAGCAAAAGGACCCTCTTCTCAGTTGGGAGGTTTCACCTGTTACTGAAAAGCGAGAAGGGGTTACAGACTTGAGTGAGCACAACATCCTGGCTTTAGCATACACACCAAGATTAAACTGCCAGCTTTTGTTCAAAAGACCACTAAGTCTAGATGAAAGAGATGTGTTTGTGTACTAGCTGCACTGAGTAACATGAGAAAAGCTGAAATTATTTCCACAGAAAGACAAGTTGTGTGCCAGTTTCGCATTCTAACTCGTAAGTTTACTCTGAAACTTCCTAGCTGTGAAAAGTAAAGAATAATTTAACACATTTTACACGTGTTCAAATAACAAAAGATAAAGGAGACAAAAATTATGCTCAGACAAAGTTATTTTATTATTCTTACAGTTTAAAAAATAAAATTAGCCAATGCTGGCACAGCTTCCACTACACAGCAAAAGAACACTTCTCTTTTTAAATAAATTTTGGTACAGGGAAAACAATCCTGGGATAATACTACATGCCATTCTCTTGAAACCAAAGTAAATAGCTCTTTCTTTCCCTGAATATGCATTCAATTCAGACTTAAAAATATATTAGACCAATAAAGTTATTTTACTGAATTAATGTGCAGCAAAAAAAGCAAATCAAAGAAAATATGTAAACAATTTATGTCTGGAAGTAAGGAGTTTGTTTCATGATGATACATCATCTTTTTCTCTAATTTAGCTTTCTAAGATTCTTCCACTGAGCTCCCTAAGGGCTAAATTCCACATGGAGAACCACATGAGATTCTTGAGATTGAGAAGTGCAATGTTAGCAGTTCCTTGTCAGTTGGCATCTTGTTCTGCAGTGGGAGAGACTGATGTAGGGCTCCCCAGACATCTCAAAAGAGTTAACTTTTGTCATCATCATCTTCTCCCCAAATAATTGCACTTGTTCCTTCAACTGAATTCTTAAACAGAAGTTTGGACATTTGATTGCATTTTGGTTGGACGGTAGAAGTTCTGGCACCACTGTCATTCTTTAATCTAAAAATATAAGCAAACAGGAAAAATCCTATGGTGAAAAATGAAGTACAAAATGTAAAATGATCACAGCTTTTGTTAATGCGATATAGTTGGCTGTGGAAAAATTAAGTTTGCTCTGAGATTCTCTGTAACGAGACAGTGAGTACTAAAATAGTCATTCCCAAATTACAATCACAGTTATTTAGTCCCCAGTTCTACAAACACTGGGCATCATAGATCTACATGGAACAACATTCCCTTCAAGTTAAATTTCATTAAAAACGGGTGCAGGATTAAAGACCTAACTCTGGATCCTTTTTAAGACAGATTGTTAAGAGCATTAAAGCTTCCATAAGGTCCAGAGTCTCTGACAGACCTAGCACATCATTCCTATGCACACAGGGAGAAGCCAGAAATTCTCACATTCTAGTTCCAAGTTTTGACATTAAATGACTCAGCTTTAAGTCTCAGTACCAGAACTTGGTTAATGTGACTAAGTTGCTCTCTCTCAGGCCTAGAATTAGGACTCAAATTCTAATCCAAAAATCAAGGCAATATTTTTTAAAGCAACAGAGATATTTTTTGCTCCTAATAGAAGGTAAAACATTTTATGTAGCCCCACAGCCGTAGCCTCCTCTCACACAGGATCAGAAAATGTCTGTGGACACTGGCAAGAATCAAATGTACAATTGTCTTTAATGCAAACAGAAAAAATCCGGGACCCAAACAAGCCACAAGAAAAATGGCCAGCTCTTCTTATTTATAAACTACTTCTGGTATATTTATACAGACAATTAGATTTCAGAAATACTGATGGATGTTAAAATAATGGTTATTTTTTAGCTTGAGACAGAGAGACAAATGTACAACATTCAAAAATTTCAGTGACTCTTGCTCCTAATAAATTGAACAGAACCACAGCAAGATTTCCTCACATCTTGCTGAAGCACTACTTTTCAGTAGAATAAATTAACCTTTTTAATGCCGAAGGATGTAAACCAGGTCTTAATTATAAAAACTAAATGCCATGTGAAAATAAACACTGTTCCTTTACAGTATAGAAAGTCCTTTACAAAATGCCATACCTCTGTGACAACTCCGGCAGCAATAGTGGAACCACTGTAGCGTAACATAAACCTTCCAAGCTCTTTAAAATCTTTATATAACTCCAGAGCAACAGGTCTTTGAGTCTGTAGTTCTATTAGAGCATTCTGACCTTTAGTCAAGAACCTGCAGGTAAATAAGCAGAAAACTCATATAAAGTATATGCATACGTAAAATTGAATAGTGAATAAATGGGACACATGAACTTAAAAAGCCAAAAGTATAATGTTCATGCTTGATTTCAAGTATAACCCAAGCCACCAGACTGAAAACTCATTTGCATGAAGCACACCTTTAAAAAGGCCCACAAGTTTTCTTTAAAAACTTCTAGAGAAGCATCCACCTCACATTTAGCAAATTGTTTTGAAGTTAACTATCTCATTAGTACCTTTTTTTTTCCTCTAGTAGAAATCGAGTATTTTTTCAAATCCAATGACTACAGAGCCAATTCACTGCCCTGTAGAAATCACAATTTTTCTTCCCATTACCCTTCAGCAACAGTTGCAGCCATGCAATTTCCTGAGAAGGATTATTCTAAGAATATTTTTTTATCAAATAGCATTTGTACCCAAATACAGGTTTAAATAACTAAAGGGATGTTCCCATGTTTTAAACTTGTATGGGAATACTCCTTCAATCTCTTTTTCTCTGATGCACTCTCTAGTTGGATTTATTTTAGACAGTAACCCATCTGCAGAATTATACCAAGGACTACTGCAGGAAGAAGAGAGATAATGTAAAAAAACATAATTAAAAAAAGAAAACCTTTAAGTGCAGGGCTAGTGATCTAGGCTTCACTCCCAATTTCACAAGTGACCTTAGGCAAGTTTTTATATTTTACTTATCAGGTGCTCAGTATTTATTAAGTGGGCAGGAGTTTTTCACTTCGTACAGCACTTTGAAACCTAAACATGAAACCATCTAAAAAAATGAAAGCATATTCTTAAAAAAACATTATTGTTTCAAAATAGAACCTGTTTGATATACAGTATATTAATAAAAAGTCAGCTTATTTCTTAAGTAATGATTCAAAACACTTACTTAGGTTTTTTCTTTGTCACTTCACCAGTGCTTTTGTGCAGGACACTCAAGAGTCTTGTAATAGTAGCAGGCTCACTTACGGTTT